AGAGAGAGAGAGAGATGTGGGCATGAGACCAACTGGTGCTTGGTTCATGGCATTAGCCATTATTCTCCTGGAGGAAATGCCCCCTGGAAGAACCTCAGCCAAGTTCTTATGAGAATTGGATGTTCAGATGGCTTTCCCTGGTGCTTGGAGGGGATATCACCCCTCCTCATGAGTGCACCATGCTTTACAGTTTGCAAAACAAACCAGTATTTCCCTTGACCCTTTTAACAGCCGTTGTGAAGTGAGGAGGAAGCAGGGATTGCTGTTCCCATTTTACAGATGGTAAAACCCAGGCCCAGAGAGAAGTAACTCACCTAGAATCACACAGCAGGTCAATGGGCAAGGTGAACCTAGAAGCAAGGGAGGAGGAGAGGCTGGCCCAGGGACACCAACCCAGCAAGGCACTCTCTTCTGACAGCCGGCACAGGGAGGGCCTTGCCTCTTGTCTGAAGTGTCAAACGCACCTGGAGCTGGCAAAGGGGACCACTATCTACACCCTGGGTGACCAGAGGAGTGAAGAGGGGAGGCAAGTGTTTGCTATTGGCTCAGGCCCCTAAAGCCACAGCCCTCAGCTGCCCCCAATGCCCAGGGGACAGCAAGGGAGGCTGGGCCTGGTCTGGGAGGCCTTGAAGTCACAATACATTTCAACAGATTCCCCAGAAGACACCTCCTCTTGAGACAAAGTGGCGCTTGCTGGCTCCTCTCCTGAGGCTCCTCCTGGCTGAAGCTTCATGCAGTTTAATTCATCAAACACCCCTCAGCTCCCAACCTGAGCTGCCAGAAGGGTGGACCCTGGGTCCAAGACAGACCCAGAGCTGGGTGCAGGAATGTGTGTCCACAGGGATCTCTTGATGGAGGAGGAACTCAAGACTTGAGGTCAAGGCAGTGAGATAAAAGCAGCTGAGTGGTACAGGCTAAGCACTGCTAGAACTTAGAGACACAGCCATTAGGCATCAGGGAAGGCTTCCCAGAGGAGGTGGCAGCACTTGAGCTGGGTTTTAGAGAACATATAGGGTGTCTCTGAATGAAGGGGTGTGTGTGCATGTGTGTGTGTGTGTTGGGAAGCCTTCCAACAAGATGGACAGCAAAGATCTGGACATGAGCAGCCAGCTGTGGGGTCCAGGGTTGGCAGATGACAAGGAGTTACTACTTGTAACAAGAAGGCAGAATGGGCCTTGGGAATGGCGTTGGAGGAAAGCCTAGGGGTTAAGACTATTGCTGCTAACAGGGAGAAGGTCAGATCTCAGCAGGAGAAGACTTATCTGGGGATGGCTTATGTGAAGACCTGACCTAAAAGAGGGACAAACCATCCCTAAGAGGCAATGGAAGAGGTGTGCCGTGAGACTAGGTAGACTAGGGTCTGCATCTTTGCTCTGTTGCTAACGTGCTGTGTGTCTTGGGCACGTTTCTCAACCTCTCTGATGTCTGGTCTGTGTGACATGGGGATGAGCACCCTGCCTAGCCCCAGACTGCTTCAGGAAGCCAGGCAGTGCCGGTGAAGGGTGAAGGGCGAAGGGCTTTGTGAGGCCCCTGCACCATGGCAGTGTCTCTCCAGAAAGAATGAGCAGGTTGCAGCTCCTGAGAGTGAGGGGCCGCCAAGGCCCGCCCCTGCCACCCCCTCCTGCAGCTGCAAACACAGAACTGTTTCTTCCCCAGTGACATCTGTCTGGGAGAAATTTAAAATTTAAAATGGGCAGCCCCATTATTTCTTTTCCTTGGTGAGCAGCCTCCTCTCCAAGCTTGCCTGCCCCAGTCCCTTGGCAGCCCAGCCCGGGGCAGCCCTAGGGCAGCCCCTCTGCTTTAGCTTCCTGACTCCAGCCCCTTCGCTGGCCAGCAGAGGCTCTGTCCTCAGCCCCTTCCAGTGGCTGGGCACCTTCCAAGCCCCACCTCCACTGCCCCTAAAGAGGTGGAAGAAGGAAGGAATGAATCAGCCCTGGAGCACACAGACCAGGGTTCAAATCCCGCTAGAGCTGCACAGCCTCAGGCAGGAGCTGGCCCTCTCTGAATCTTGCTCTCCTTGTCTTAAAGTCAGAGAATCCCAATACCCAGCATTCGGAAAAATGTGTTTTTTATTGATCTTCTGAATGCAGAGCTCTGGCTAAAGGGGGAGGATGCAGAGGAGACCCAGGGGGTCAGGTGCTGGTCCTGAAGCTCAGGTTAATATGCCAGGTGCCTGGAACAGGGTGGCGCCCAGAGTGGGAACTTGGTAAGTGGTTAGGATCCCCATTTGTGTCGTGAGGAAACGGACTCTTCCACAGCAAAGGGAGTGATCTGTGGTCACACCGCGAAACTACAGGTCCCCCACTCCCCCCTGCACAGGCAGGCACCGGGGTCTCTGCTGGCGGGGCGTGCGGAGCGGTTCCTTGCAGGGGTAACGCCCCCGTCCAACCCTGAGTTCAAGCCTCACTGGGGCAGAAGAGGAGGGTGCCTGCCCCGCCCCGGGCCTCCGGTGCGCCCCAAACTTCAGCACCTCGCACTGGGCACCCACCCTCCCGGCCCAAAAGGCCACCACCTCTTCAGCCGCCCGAGTCCCCGTCCCTGCGCTTACCTGCGGCTTGTCGCGCGGCCGGTCCTCAAGTTGGGAAGCGCCGCCCATGGTCTTCCACCGGTCGTTGACCATCTTCCGGCAGGGCCGGCAGGGGCGCTGGGCGAGGGGCGCCGCTGCGGAGCGCAAAGGTGGCGAGGTAGGCACCGGCGCGGGGTGCGCTCTGCTAGCCTGGTCCCTGCCTCGGTGCGAGCGTGCGGGCGTGTGCGGGTGTGTGTGCGCGCGCCAGGGTGTGCGGGCGTGTGCGGGCGAGAGCAGGAGCGGGAGCGCGAGAGCCGCCTGCCCGCCGTCCGCCGCTCGCGCCGCGCGCCTCCCAGCTCCCGCTCCCGCTCCCGCGCTCCCCGCGCGCTCCTCTCCCTCCTCCCGTATCCCTCCTCCCTCCTCAATCTCCGCGTCTTTTTTGTCTCGGACTCTCTTTGCCTTTTATTGCTCCCCTCGGCCTCCCCCCGACACACGCGCACACGCACACGCACACCCGCAGACTTCCATAGTTAACTCCACCTCCGGAAAGGCCCAGCTAAACCGACCCAACATCACCCGGGCCGGCCGGACGGCGGCAAACAGACGCTGGCTCCCGAAGGGGCCTGAGCGCCCCGGCGGCGCCTCTGCACAAACTTCCTCCGCGGCCCAACTCGCACCAACTCACCCTGCGCGGGGGGCGCGGCGCCGGGCAAGCCCCGTGGGTGCCCTCGCCGGCTCGTCAGGTGTCTCTGGGGAACGGTGCCGCCCTCCTCCCGGTTCGCTCCGGGTTCAGGGCGCTGGGCTCTCCGCGAGACCAAAGCCGGGCTGGGGCTGGAAGGAGCGCGTCCCCTGTTGTCTCCGGGATTTCGGTCTGGGTCCGGCGACACGTGCGCCCAGTCCTGGAGCTCCCGGCGACCGCCCCGCTCAGGACTCCAACCCGCGAGCCTGGTCCTAGGGGCGCTCCGGTCTGCGTCCGCAGACACTTGCCCTGGCGCTCACAGGAAGACAGCCGCCCGGACGCCTCCCTGCTCAGATGGGCCGCAGGCGGAACGGGGGTCCCACCCTGCCGCCGCTACAGCCGCGGGCGCGAGGACGAGCCGCTCCGCGATCTGCCTGAGCTCCCGGCCGACCGCCCGCGCTCCCCGGGAGCTCCCCGCGCAGTCTCAGCCCCCGCCTCCTCTTCCGCCGGGAGAGGAGAGATTTGTCCCAGGAGGGGGCTTCTTAGTCGCCCCTTCCCACCAGCAGCACTTTTTAAAGCATTTAATCCGGCCTTCAGAGGTAATTGACAAAGTCCTTAATCTGCGCCAGGAACCAGCAGCTACTGTGGCTCCCGACCGAGGCGCCCACGCGGCCCGACGCTGAGCTCCCAGCAGGCCGAAACCCTCCCGGCCCTCCCCGCCACGCCCCTTTCTGCGGCCCCCACCTTCTTCTGGTACCCCAGCTCCAGACAGACACCCCCGTTCCCCGCCCTCGCTTCTCCCCAAAGCTGTCTTCCGGCCCCCAGGGCGCCTTGGCCCGCCGCGCTGTTCCCTGGCACAGTCTCTGTCTCTCCCCCACTGGCTGCCAGTCTGTCTACCCATCTTCGTCTTTTTCTGGATCCCACTGCGCGTCCGGCGAGGCAGGCCGGCTAGGGGTGGGGGCAGCGCCCAGCCTGGGCAGGGGCGCTCCTTGGTCTCCACAACTGAGCAGAGGATCTCGTGCCCCATGCTGTCTGAGGGGACTGCCACCCACTAGAAGCTGGGTTCACAACCCGCCACTTGTCTGCAACCTCCTTTTCCTCTCAGGTCTGCGGCAGCGGGCTCACCTGCAGCCCCACTCCAGCTGCCCACTAGGCGACTGCCCAGGGAGCAGGAGTGGGAACCTGCCGCAGTGGTGGGAATCAGGAGGCCTAGGGTGGAGTCTGTCCCCTGGCTCTTCCTGGCTAGCACCTGTTTCTCGGGACTTCTTTCCTATTGATTGGAGGGGAGCAGCAGGTGGCCTAGGGGGGCCCCCCGGGGCAAGCAACTGTTCCTCTGAGCCCTGTGTACACCAAAGGGCTAACAGCCGGCTCCTCAGGAAGGCTCTGCCCTTGTGGGATTCTGAGAGATGCACCTGAGGAGGGTAAGGGCTCAAACTTTCCTGCTGTGACCTTGGGCAGATTTCCTGTCCTTCTCAGGCCTCAGTTCCTCATGAACAAGGAAGTCTCCTCTTGGTGGGGAGCTGTGAGGTTTGCAGGCTGCTGGACAGTGCCTGGAAGGAAGCAGGCATGTGGTGGGGGCTGCACGTCTGTGACTCCACAGTTTGAGGAGAGGATCTAAACTCCGGAAGTGCTGTGCACGCACGGGTCGCCCTGGGGAGGCCCTGAACTGAGAATCTGAAGGGGGTGCCAGGGGCCTATGGAGTAGATCCTGGGGGGTGTGCTCTGGGCAGTCGAGGAAGGCACCCCGGGATGCAGGGGTGTGCACTGGCCCGTGAAGGCATGGGAGGGCAGCTTCTTCACATCTGGATGCTGGGGAAAAGGCTGTAGAAGCAAAAGCAGAGAGCAGGAGTGACCACAGCATACCTGGGCAGGTGTAAACAGGAGACTGCTCTGGCCCAGCGTTTCCCAGGCCAGCAGAAGGGCAGTTAGACAGGTGAGCGGGGGCCACCTAGCGGCTCCTCCTGGCAGTGTTGGCTGTGGAGTCACCTCACCTGCTCAGAAGTAGTTTCTTCAACTTCACAGCCTGGGGAGTACCGTAAGTTTGTGTCTTTAGGGGCGGGCCCTATTCCATCACCTCCTCTGATGAAACCGCTACTCAGCACCCTGGAAAAGGGGTCGGCCATGATGCAGGTGTGGCATGAGCCCCCAGGTGGGTGCTCAGCACTTTGCATTCTGATCTCAACTGATGTGCTTGGGGCATTGTCCTGGGAGAAGAGAGGGCTGCCATTGGCCCCTCAGGTCTAGTGCCAAACCCCCACCCTAATATTTAGGACATAGAACAGCTGACACTACAGAGCAGACAGTCTCTGCATCCTCTGATTTCCCTTTGACAAGGCTGATGGCCACTGAGCACAAATGATGAGACTAGATGTGCTCAGCAGACTGACCAGGGCAGGACCAGAGCTTTCTACCCGTCCTCAGACTGGGCGTTCTGTCAGAGAGCATATAGGACCTCAGGGGTTCTAGAACCCAGGACCTACAGACCCCAGGTAACTTGGTACCTGTGGTCACTCCCTGTATATCCACTCATCCTCCTCTCTCTGGCTCACCAATTCTGTGGGTTCCTGCTTTGCCTTTCTAAGGCCACCTGGTTTGATGGCCCCACTGATGAACAACTCCTGTCTGGGATTGAACCAGGAAATACCAATCACAGGTTGTCAGATGGACCAAGGCAGTGCCATTGGTCATTGCCCACCATGGTCTGATGGGGGGCATGGCTGCTGGGTTCAAATGCAGGGCACCTCCCTTAGTGGAGAGCAGGTGTCAGACAGGCTGTGGGCACGCCCACACTGGAATTAAGGAAGAGGGCCAACAAGGACAAAGAAGAGGCAGGGATGGAGGGTAACCACCTGCAGGACCCCAGACCGGCTGCTATACTGAGCTCAGTGCCAGGCACCACACATCTTCCCAGCCACTCTAATAAGTGGGAGCTATTGTTCCCATTTTGCAGATGAAGAAACTGACTCAGAAAGGTAAGTTTTTTTTTTAGAGTCAGTCTCACTTCATTGCCCTCAGTAGAGTGCTATGGCATCACACAGCTCACAGCAACCTCCAACTCCTGGGCTTAGGTGATTCTCTTGCCTCAGCCTCCCAAGTAGCTGAAACTACAGGCACCTGCCACATTGCCTATCTATTTTTTTGTTGCAGTTTGGCCAGAGCAGGGCTATGCACCCACCACCATCAGTATATGGGGCCATCGCCCCACCAGCTGAGCCACTGGTGCCGCCCCAGAAAGGTAAGTTTTTTAACTAGTATAATTGTTCCATTAATAAAAAGATGTAGAGGGCCAGGTGTGGTGGTTCATGCCTGTAATCCTAGCACTCTGGGAGGCCGAGATAGGTGGATTGCTTGCGTTCAGCACTCTGAGAGGCCAAGATAGGTAGATTGCTTGAGTTCAGCACTCTGGGAGGTCAAGATAGGTGGATTGCTTGAGTTCAAGTTCAAGACCAGCCTGAGTAAGAATGAGACCATATCTCTAAAACTAGCTGGGTGTTGTGGAGGGTACCTATAGTCCCAGCTGCTTGGGAGGCTGAAGCAAGAGGATCATATGGGCCTAAGAGTTTGAGGTTGCTGTGAGCTATGATGACACCATGGCACTCTACCCAGGGCAGCAAAGTTAGACATTCATCTTTAAATAAATAAAATGGTGTAATTACTGAATTATGATACCGTTTTTCACGTGCTGGATATAGTTCATTAGCAATACCACCTTACTTCATGTAATCCTCATGAAACACCCAAGACCTATGGGTGTTATTAATTTCCCCATTTTGTAGATGAGGCAACAGAAGCCCAGAGAAGTTAAGGAGCTTGACAGAGCAATCCAGGGGGCCAGAACTGGAATCCCGGGCAGCATGCTGCCAGAGCCCATCTCGTTCTCAGATGCCTTGGTGCATCGTGGTCTGCCAGAGCTGGGCCTAAGACGCCCCTCGAGCACTGCTGAGCTGGCAGGCAGCAGAGGCTCCGTGAACGTGGCCTGAATAGCAAATGTGTGCATCTCTTGAGGCCTGAGGGATTAGATGGCCAGAGGGTCGGGACCTCTGGCCCTCATCTACCCAGCCTCTGCCCCACTCTGCCAGGGGCACTCAGCTCTCACCATAAAGCTGTTTCAACTTAACTCTGACAGTCACATTTATCATTAAAAATAAATGTATCTTGGCTTCCCGTGGCATGGAAAGCTACTGTGCAGTGATTCAATGGGCTTGTCACCCCTCACGGTTAGGCACGGGGAGCTGAACAACTGGATGGTCTCCAGCGCCAGCTCCTCATTTTCTGCAGCTGGAGCCAGAAATGTACAGTGGGCTGACATTTAATTTAGAATCCAACATACCTTGACATAAACCCATAATACAAAGGCAGGGGCGGGGGTGGGGACTGCCAAGCCTGGCGGGGGCTGGGGGGAGTCCAAGTGACAGGGTGGATTTCTTTCCTTCTTTTTTTTTTTTATTTTGCTTTATCAACACTGAGTGG